CTACACCAGGACTACACCAGGACTACACACCACCAGGACTACACCAAAACTACACCAGGACTACACCAGGACTACACCAGGACCAGGACTACAACCAGGACTACTACACCAAGACTACACCAGGACTACTACACCAGGACTACACCAGGACTACACCAGGACTACACCAGGACTACACCAGGACTACACCAGGACTACACCAGGACTACAGGACTACACAGGACTACACCAGGACTACACCAGGACTACACCAGGACCAGGACTACACCACTACACCAGACTACACCAGGACTACGCCAGGACTACACCACCAGGACTACACCAGGACTACGAGGACCAGGACTACACCAGGACTTTACCAGGACTACACCAGGACTTTACCGGGACGACACCAAGACTACGCCAGGACTTTACCAGGACTTTACCAGGACAACACCAGGACTTTACCGGGACAACACCAGGACTTTACCAGGATTACAAGGACTTTTACCAGGACTTTACCAGGTCTAAACCAGAAGCACAGCCCAAGTCGATCTCCTCCGCTGATGGTTTTATGTGATAAAAACACTAAAGTCTCTCTCAGCCTGGTCCATCGTTCGAGAAAAGACCAGGAAATGTCACTTGCTTCCAGGGCGATGGACCCTAGATACACGTCCAGTATTTTTCTCCTGCTCCTCGTTCATTTGATTCACCTGACCCGCCCTCATACCCGCCCGTGAAATTCCAGAACATTAAAACCCGCCCGTTTCAGCAAATATTTGCAGGTACCCGACCCGGTGCAGGACTCTGACACACATAACTATCCAATCAAGATAGGACCGTACGTTTTTTTCTTTCCGAGCATATTTCCGGCATCATCATACACAGATGATGGTGATGTAGAGAAAAAAGTGTCCAATAGGAACTTTGTTTTCCTCCAAACTCATGCGCTCCGTTCATTTTGACTGGGCCAAACTTTGCCAAAGAGTGTAGTGAGTCAAAACGGTCGATGCTCTGAGCGTCTGTGTTCGTAACAGTAGAAAAAGTCGCTCTAAGTGCAAATATTTCTCAAATAAATGTTAAATTACTCATCTTGGTCTGTGTAATTGCGCATCCCTTGTTATTTTTTATTTTCAGGTTTATTTCAGTTCAAATATACAAATCCAAATGTAGTAAACACCATGGAAATGCAGGAATGTGGCTCTGTGTCCTGGACATGTAAAGTAATGTGGCGATTGGGTCCAGTCAAGTGGTAACGGAGGGAAACAGGGGCAGATTTTTGACATTCAAATGTCTCTTATTCAGAAACTAGAGGAACTATTGAAATAAGTAAAGTATCAGAATGTAGGAAAGAGTTACACTCCAACAGGGTCAAGTTAAACCTGTGATATTCTTTCAAGTTGTTGACAAAAAATTTAAAAACTCATGTTGGTAACGGAGGGAATGAAATATGCAGCACTTTTTGGTCAATAAATCCAAACAGTGATAACTCTTGGTTCTCACTTACATATCCTTAACAAACTGGTTTGAATATTTGCTTCATATAGTTTTCTACCATATGGTACAAGATTAGGTTGAAAAACCTCTTACTTTTTGACTCATGAGATTTTTTATTAAGAAAGGTCATGGTAACGGAGGGAAAAGTAACGGAGGGAAAATTGTACAAACAAGTAGAAGGTGCAGGATTTTACATAATTTGTCGCTTTTTTCTTCTGAATACTTTAATATTACTTCAAAATGAAAGGAAACTATTTCTATAAAATATGTCAGTCCTTCCAAAGAAAATTTTTATCATTTTAAAAATTTTTTAAAAAAAAAATCATGTACCTTCATCAACAGTTCAAAGATGGAATAACACAAGATATGATGAAATACATCCATTTATTTACATGATTTTCAGGTCTTTGAAATTTGGGAAATAATTTTTGTTCCATGTTTCATACATGGTCTGTTTAAAACGTATGGAACTTTAGAACCAAAAATGGTACAGAAAAAAGGTCAACAGTTTCATAAACTAGAGTACATATGTATCTGTTCAATACATTTTTATATCAGATGCATTAACTTGAATTTTTGGCCTTGTTGTTTACTTCTGCTTGACCGGGCCTATTGTAAAATTGTTGTTTTCCCGGATGTGTCCCGGCAGGTTCTCTTTGGCATCATTTATGGTTAGAACTATGACGATATCGGATCATTTTCAAACCGCGACTTTCATTCTTGCTTAATGAAAACATTCTTGGCAAATGCTTTCCCTTTCATCCGTCTGTAGTTCCACTTTAAGTAGTTGATTAAAATACATTTGCACTGGATCACACATTTAAAAGGCCAACATTGCTCTAGTTTATGATCTTTTAGGGCTGCTTTATTGATAAGTTACGCAAAACTTTCAAACTGAAAATAAATATAGACTGCAAATATGTACCTTAGAGCAATTTAGCAAAAAATCCAAAATAAACGATATATCCAACTGTTCTACAATACATAAAATAATTATACTTATTTATATAAAAACAATATCCAAAATAAACTTGTTAAGCTTTAATCGTTTCAACTCAATCATATGAGTTTGGAGATTGTTTGACACACAAATCGAAATCGCGACAAAAATTGTATTAATTGCACAACCTTGCAATCTATGTTATAATGTTTAAGAACACAGGAAGTGCTCCTCTGTGTTTTTAAACTCTACACACCTTCACTAGAATCATCATCGTCGCCAATCTCTTCTGATGTAAAGGTAAAGGGAGCTGCTCATGACATCACAAGGTGGAACACGGCATTTTTGAGCTTTGGAGACGCCGATCGGCTGATAGTGGGAGGATTACTCAAACACGCGTGAAACGAAACACAACTCGGAGCAGGTTTTTGACGAGGAAACCGTGTTCTAAACCTCACAGGAGTCCATTTTTGCATAATAATACCGGCCCTTTTAATCAAAACAATACACCCTCCGCCCCGAAGCGCCAAAAAACCAGCAGGATCCCGCTCCCCTCCCTCCCCCCCCTCACCCCCCTCACCTCCACGTCTCATTAGCCCCTCCCGACACTGTAGCTCCAGCCCCGGATCGATAGCAGCACCAGCCTGCAGATGAAGCCCAGTGACAGGCAGCCTATGATATGAAAGAGCTCAAATTGATCCGGGCCCCACCAGGCTGCGCTCCTCAAAAGACCATTATTCCATTAGCATTGATCCGGGGGAGAGAAAGAGGCGGGGGGGCGAGGGGGGGGGGGGGGGGCGCTCTGATGAACACAGCCCAACCGAGCGGCGACTAATAAAAATTGAACCCCGAGCGAGTTCTAAAAGAAAGAAAAAAAAATTTAAATAAAAGCCACACGTCACATTGTTATTGGATTTCCGGGAGCGATGATGAATTAATGTAACTCGCTTGACGATTTTTTTTTTTTTTTTTGCCCTGCCCGTAATAGCCCGAGTGACCGGTGCATTTCTTTGGGATTAATAAAAGCTTAAATGAAAGACTGCGTTGATATTGATATTCCGAGCGCGCGGGTCTTTCGTTGGAGGACATTAGTTTGGCGTGACGGAGCGCGGCCGCGGGGCGCAGTAAAAGGGATTGATCCGGAGAAGAAGAAACATCATCTAATATTCATTTGATATCGCGCAAAGGTTACGAGGCTCATTTGCGGAGCGACGGCGACTGCAGACGTGGAAACAGAAGTGGAGTCGGTCTTGCGGAATGAGAGGAATTGTGTTTTTTTTCAGACGTAGAATGTTTAAGTAACAAATTACATTTACTGACATGACTGTAATTGAGTAGTTTTTATGAGTGATTTGGCATTTTTTAAGCAGTATGTTTTTGAAATGGGTAGTTTTACTTTTACTCAAGTACATACTGTTATTTATTTATTTATTTATTTTTATTTATTACCTCCGCCAAGAAGGTTATGTCTGTTTGTTTGTTTGTTTGTTTGTTTGTTTGTTTGTTTTTTTGTTTGTCTGTTAGCAACATAACTCAAAAAGTTATGGACCGATTTTGATGAAATTTTCAGGATTTGTTGGAAATGTGAAAAGGAAGAACTGATTTCATTTTGGGGATGATCCGGAAGAAATCCTGGATTCTGGATCACTTTGAAATTTTAGTTAACATTGTGGTAAATGGGGCCAAAAAATGTTGTTTCTCAATATCTCGGTTAATTATTGACCAAACCCCATGAAATTTGACTCAGGGATGGACAATGGGATCCTCTTTCATATTCCAAAGGCTGATCCGGATCTGATCCAGAAGACTGATTTTATCACAAATTATATAAAAAATGGGGGTAGTCCTTGGCGGAGGTCTGCGCTCTCTGACTGCTTTTCTAGTTTATTTATTTAATAGGGACAGTGCATATTAATGAACATCTACAACATTGCAGTGTAAATATATACCAGATTATAGCAAGACTGCTAATCTGTAGTCCCTCGGCAGGTAACACCACAAATTTAAACAAAGGAAAAACAAGTAACAAATCTATACTAAAAGTGTCCACTTTTTGTTCTTTAGCCGCTCTTTTAAGGAGGACTTGAAGGTGGCAAGAGTTGAAGTTTCTCTTCTTGATAGTGGCAGAATGTTCCAAAATGTTGTGCCTCTGACTGAGACGCACCTTGACCGAATGTTGTGCGTCTGTGTGGGACGTCACAGTTCCCCCGGGCTGTGGCCCTAGTTCCCATCCCACTCACAGTCTTTACTTTAATAAAATCCTGTAATGGAGGAGGGGCAAGTCCATGCAAAACTTTATAGACAAAACATCCATATTTAAAACCAATAAAATTATTAAAATTAAGCAAATTATACTTGTCTAAAATAGTGCAGTGGTGAAATGAGAATGGTTTCCTGTCCAATATTTTTACGGCTTTTTAAAAAAGTGATTCGATGGGTTTTTTACATTTATTCGAGTCGATTTTTAGATGGCTGCTTTTGCTTGAGTAGGAATTAAGCAAAGTAAAGACACTTTTGCTTAATTAGAATTTTTCTGTACATTTTCCACCGCTGAAAATGTGTGTTTTGTGTGTTTTTTCTTTAGCCCATTGGAGCGCTCAACCCCAAAAGAGCAGCCTTCTTCTCCGACCGCTATGAATCCTGGGAGGACGAGCAGGTGCCCAAGTTTCACTACGGCACACACTACTCTACGTCCAGCTTTACTCTCATGTGGCTGCTCAGAATCGTAAGTAATGTTTTGCGTGAAATGCGAATGCGAATGTGTGAATGAACGTCTAATATTAAGAAAATTATTTCATTTATTTATTAAAGACGCTGTGCTTTACTTCTGTGGGGGATTAACCGCTAAAACCGAACTTATTTAGATCACCGTGTTACGTGTTGTTGTTTTTTGAATGCTGTCTTCACCGAAAACAACGTATTAACACGTTAAATAAGTTTCACTGGGTCTCCCTTCCTTTTGCCTTTTGTTAATGAAACTACTGCACTTCACATCAGGTTTGTCGAGGTCCTGTGTTTAGTTTTGTGTCATGTTTTAGTTTATCGCCATAAGGAGGGTTTGAATATGGCCCAGGAGAGATCGCTAAATTACTCAAACATGTACTGATGACATTTAAAACCTTTTCAGGCATGTGTTTGATGAGGGAAGATTATAATGTGGTAGAAAGCTAAAAAAAAATAAATAAAAATTTGTCTAATACCCATTTTTAAAGAGCCATTAAACACCCTCCTCAAGCTTTTAGCAGCGATTGGTTAATTAAAAAAATTACCCACCTACCGTCGAGCAAACGAATCCTAATGCTGCGAGGTCAGACGGTTTCCACAAAGTGAAACCGGTTGATGAATCAGACTAGCTTTACTCCTCCCGTGGGCGGTGCTTGGCGGTGTGGGGCGGGCTCTAGAGCGATGATTGACAACCGACCAACAGCCACAACAATCCAACACGGCGCGGACCGCTGCGCTCCGGACTTTGAAACAGAGTGGACATTTGTGCTCAGATCTCGCCGTTTCCCTTTTCTCCAGACACGACGGGACATTGAGGTGCCCGGCGGTGCCAGGTCGGAGCAGGGCTGCGAGGGGCTCGTCATGTAATAACCTGCGTCTGACTCGTCGATGGCCGTTAGTCCGACCTGAAAATGAAAATGTCTTGACCCTAGTTGATCCTAAATAGTTCGTTACAGCACGACTTTTAACTCTTTCCCCCCTGGACGCCGACTAGGAACAACCATACATATGTTACTAGGGCTACACCCATAGAGCATAACTGCATAAAAGAAAACAGACTTCCACGAGTGATTATAAATGATTTTTACACTCATGAACTTAAGTGTAACACAGACATATTTGTATCTCTGGAAACCTTAGACTCTGAACTCTTCATTTATGGATGTTTAAATTGATTCAACTCATTTATAGGTGTTATAACAGCTCACTGAAAATGAGAGTTTACCTGGTCAGGTGCAAACTCGAAAACAAAAAACTACATTCAGCATCTGATATCTGCATGTTCTGATACTATATTCATAAAAAAATAAAAAATATACTTTGTCAAAGTATTTAAACAGATTTCATATCACCAGATACAGTAGAGCCAAGTGTGCACCTGTTTTTACCTGTTGTACACCTGTGTGCACCCAATTAATTTTTTTCCATTTAACTTATTCAACTCATTTAGCTTATTCAACTTATTTTATTTATTTAACTCATTTAGCTTATTCAACTAATTTAGCTTATTATAATATAATAATATAATAATAAAACTCTTCCCCGTCAGTGTGTGTCCAGTATTTGTCATCTTGTTATTTTCTCGTGTGCAGAGCTCCACATAAGTGTTTTTTCTGTAGTGATTCTGTTATACGTTGCATCTTGGAAAAAAAGACTGAAATATTTTAAAGGACTGGCCTGAGCAACATCCAGATTTCAGGGCAATTTTGGTTCATAATCGAGTATAAAGCTCAGATAGTTTGTTGGGACATCGCAGGACTCCACACAGACGCATCAGCGACATTCTCACCTTCTCCCGAAAGTCCGTCGCTATCGCTGTTTTCCACTTTATAATCAACTTCAACATCATCACTTTGAAATCTATAAAAGTCACTTTCTCTAAACTTATCCATAAAATACGTCCGCTCCTCATTATTTCTAAAACTGCGCCGCAGCGCCGCCATCTTTCCATTGCACGTGTTTCGTGTTGTGTTTTTTCCGGAAGCTACCATCGTCACTATTTCGATTAACTTCGGAAAAAATCGGCGAAAACATATCCTTGAATCCTATTGGTCAGTCTAGTGTGGGTTGTAGTGGCCCCGACCGATCACAGTCTCTGTTTAAATGTGAAAAACCGAGCCATTTCTAAAGGTCGTCAAATCTCGTCTTTAGTGATACAGCGGAGGTGTCAAAAGTCGTCATTAAGGAAACAGGGGGGGTCGTCAAATGTCGTCTTCATGGGGGAAAGAGTTAACAAAGACAGTGGTCCCTCGTTTATCGTGGGGGTTACGTTCTAAAAATAACCCGCGCAAAGTAGTCAACTTTATATTTTACAATTATCATATCTGTTTTAATCCTGTAAAACCCCTCAGCACAAACTTTAAACACTTTTCTCACACAGGACACTTACAACCCTTTTTACATCCTTCATAAAACTTATTGCTGCTGTCGTCCTTTTGTTATTTTCCTTTTTCTTTATATAACGAAACGAAGATTCATTTATTCCGTAATGGAGTCCGACAGCGCAGAGTCCTGCACGGGTCCATTTTTGGAGACCCACACCCGCCCGTTAACCCAAGATTATGTCAAACTTTTGTGCTGCACACGTTATGGACTGAACCAAGACTAAACCAGGACTAAACCAGGACTAACCCAGGACTAACCCAGGACTGATTCCAGGACTGAAGAGGAGGACTAAAACAGGACTAAACCAGAACTAAACTAGAACTGAACCAGGACTCTCGATGGGGACGGGCTCGGAGGTGACCGCAGGAGAAAGGACCGTCTCAGAGCTCCGCGCCTCACAGTAAACGCGACAATCGCCCGATCGCGCTGCACTTCAGAATAACACTTCGGTGACACATTCTGTACTGTACAGGAGACACGACACGGAGGAGATTGATTGACAACGGCCTACAGTCCCTTAGCCAATCAGGACGCAGGGGGAAGAACACAATACACACTCATACGCTTTAAAAAAAAAAAAAAATTGTACAAAAAAAAATCCACGAAACAGCGAGACTGCGAAAGTTGAAGGCACTAAAATTCCAAAATAAGGCCAGGGATAAGTTCACATTTTTGTTTTAGACCAATTTACTCAGATAATCAGTAGAAAAAAAGTGATTTTGTTGTTTAGTGGCCTTTTAAAATAAACATTATGATTTAAAAATGGCGTCAATCATTTGTAAACATTCTGCAGTAGTAAGTTCCTTTAGTTACGTTTTAAATACACAGATTTCTTGTCGCTTTTCAGCTGCACATGTTCAAAAACACGGGCGACACAATGGCCCAATTTCCCCTCCACCTTGTTAAACCAACCCGGCGGCCATTTTGTGAGTTTTTATTGGTTTTTGAAGAGGATAGCCGTAAACATTTCGCTGAAGTGTGCTCTTTTAAGGACCTTTGTGCAATAGACGTCATCAATCTTCGGCGAGTGCACCCGGGGGACAGGAGGGGGCTCTAAGTTTCTCCTCCTGCCCACACTTTTGGCCTGTTATTGTTGCCGTAGCTCACTGTCTGCGCGGCTCCCTGTAGACTTTCCACATTGATCCTAGCACATCATTAGCCAGCTTACCCATAATCCACTTTACCAGAAGCCCTCACGTGAAGAGCAGAGCGAACGGAGCGGCCCAGACGGAAACTGTGCTCGGGCTTTTCACGAGACCGAGAGAAACGCTCACAGACAAAGTACAGCTTCAAAATGCAAAAGGCTGGAATTATCAAAGTACAAAAGCTGCTTCGGTTAGATCATGTAAAGTCTGAGATCAACAATATGTTTTATTTTGAAAGTGGGCGACTCAAGTTAGACTTTAAATCCGAGCTGTTTTAACGCAATTTGATCAAAAAGAACTGACTTAGCTGGAAAATTTGTGTGTCGTTCGTTCATTTGTTTTTCAAAATAAAACCACAAATAAGAAAATGAAAAAAACAAGGATTTTCTTCATTATTTGTCTCCAAAACTAAAATGAAAATAAAGATAATGATTCGTTTTTTCAGTTTTTGATTTTGTGTTTAAATGAAAAATGGGAAAAACGGAAAACTGCTGTTTCTCATTTACTTGACTTAAACTGAGATGCCGGACTGAACCAGGTCCAGGACCAGACTGGAACCAGACCAGGACTGGGACCAGGACCAGGACTGAGACCGGGACCAGACCAAGACCAGACCAGGACCGGGACTGAGACCTGGACGAGACAAGGACTGAGACCGGGACTGACACCACGACGAGACCGGGACTGAGGCGAGGACCAGGACCAGGACTGAGACCTGGACCAGACCAGAACTGAGACCAGGACTGATACCGGGACTGAGGCCAGGACCAGACCACGACTGAGACTGGGATCAGACTGGGACTGAGACGGGGACCAGATCGAGACCAGGACCGGACCAGGACTGAGACCTGGACCTGAGACCAGAACTGATATTGGGACTGATATCAGGACTGAGGCCAGGACCAGACCAGTACCAGACCAGACCAGAGACCGGGACAGAGACCGGGACAGAGACCGGACAGAGACCGGGACAGAGACGGGACAGAGACCGGACAGAGACCGGGACAGAGACCGGGACCAGACCGTGATTGAGACGGGACTGAGACCGGACTGAGACCGGGAGACCGGGACAGACCAGGACCAGACCAGGACCAGAGACTGACCAGGACCAGACCGTGATTGAGACCGTGATTGAGACCGGGACAGGACCGGGACCAGACCAGGACCAGACGATGAGACCGGACTGAGACCGGGACTGAGACCGGGACAGAGACCGGGACCAGACCAGGACCAGACCGTGATTGAGACCGGGACTGAGACCAGGACCGAGACCGGGACTGAGACCGGGACTGAGACCGGGACAGAGACCGGGACCAGACCAGGACCAGACCGTGATTGAGACCGGGACTGAGACCAGGACCAGACTGGGACCAGACACTGACTGAGACCGGGACCAGATTGGGACTGAGACCAGGACTGAGACCAGGACTGAGACCAGGACTGAGACCAGGACTGAGACCAGGACTGAGAC